TATATTATAATTTAATTAGAATACACAGAAAACATATTTTTCATATTAATCATCATTATTTAAACCAATTCCTTTTTTATTTATGAATTACACATAGTAATGCTTCTACTGTACTGTTGTATAAAAATAATTTTAAGTATGGAAAAGAATTTTTTTTAAAAGTATGGAATGTTTAAAATACATCCTTTTATAAACCGGAATGCGTTATAAGCGTATATCTCACATATTAGCATTGAGATATTTTTCAACCTATATAAATGTTCAAGTTTGGGGCCCACTTTTTGATAGTAAGTGTAGTCTCTTAAAAATACATTAGACAATTTAAAATACACTTACATTCTTGTGAATTTAAGCAATTAAAGTTTATTATTATTGTTCTTTTCCCCTGGAAACTGTTGATTTATCTTATTACTAAATAAACAGATGTTCTTTTTGAGTTTTACTTTTTATCTCCCTGTTTTTATTAGTTTTGAGAACTCTTTTGACATCATTTGTCGATAATCGTTTCTATATACAGTAAAAAATGTTTAACGCGAAAACGTTTAAGACGAAATAATACAACGGTCCCAAAAACTGTTATGTATTTTCCTGTACTTTTCTCTTAACACGAACCGAATATCGCTTAACACACGAAAAGATTTTCCTTTTGGAATGAACAAAATACGGAAAACACCAGTCCCGCAGGTGAGATTCAATAGGGTCGTGAAATGAAAGAGAGGTATTTTCCCATGTTTCGTAAAAAGGACGCTTACTTGGCTTTGAAATACTCTCGGAATAGTTTGTGACACGAGCTAATTTTGTTTATCTAAAGTTTTGCTTACCCTCCACCCCTAAAAGAAATGAATGATGTGTTTCTTATTCCCACATCATCCGAAATGAGGAACATCATGAAAAGCATGTGCAGTTATTTAGACGCACATTCCAATAGTGAAATGAAAAACAAAATGAACAACATAGAACATTTTGTTAACAATTTAATACTCAAAAAGACAATGTAAAAAAAAAAAAAAAAATCCGATTATTTTTCAAAAACTTTGAAATTTTGTATTAAATTTCATTAAGCTCTTATGAATGTTTTTGTTTAATTGAGTTTTATAAAGTACATGTATATATACATATATATGTAAATAAAATGTACTCTAATAAACTTAATTTTGTTGAATATACGTTTTTTTCCCTTTAACACGAAAAAATATTTCAGTCCCCTCTGTTTCGAGTTAAATGAATTTCACTGTACTTTAATTAATATTAGTAATTCAATAGTATAAATTTAATTAATTTATTATAACATATTTCAATTTTTAGCATAAATAAGAAATTTAGAAAAAAAGACACAAACAAATGAAGAGAATTTTAAAGTCCATAAATGAGAAATGCAATAGCGAAAAAAGCAATTCTAAATGCTACATAGAGTCCATTCTTTTATTTAACTTACTCTGGTTTAAAACTATAACGTAACAGGTGAGTTAAAAGTTCGTTTAAACTCTAAAAATTCATTAAAAAAAGGAAGAAATAATGATAAATAAGTGTGGTTTGCAAGAAAGGGCTCACAAGGAAGCCATATTTTTTAGCAGCAAAAACAGTTTTAGGTAAAAATTCAGTCGGACCCCGATTTAAGAAATTTATTGGGACCGAATATTTTGTTCGTTAATTCGGGATTATTCGTCATATCGGGATCCAAGTTAAATACAAATTCCTTACACTTACCTTTTGGAAATTCTATAAGCAACTACAAAAAAAAAAACAAAAAAACAAACCATAGTTAGGAATTACACATTTTTTATTCAAAAAGCTATAAAATACTATTAGCGACCTATTATTAATTCATTGGAAATTTTAAAACACTGACTGATAGATGTTTTAACTCTTTATCTACCGACGCGCAGTACTTATAAGTACCACTCACTTTAAAATAACATAGAATAACCAATTTTACGAATATTCTGACAATACTTAGCAGGAATATTCTTTGAAATCCACTCTTCCAAGGTATATGGCAGCATGGGTTCTATGATGAGTATTTTAGCGGAGAAGGCGAATAGTTTTATAGCAGAAATTGCGTTTTCAGCTGACTCCGTTTTCAGCGGATTGCAAAGATTATCATTTTTGTCCCGAAAAAATAGTTAGTGTCAAAATTTAAGTGTCCTATTTTTTTGTATGTTAATGAGGACCTTAGAAAACGATTTGACTCGAACAGTGTATATAATTAATTTTACAGTTGAATATCTTTAAGTAATTAATTAGCTCTAACGGATTAAATTTTCCAAAGTGGAGTATTTTGTTTATGTATACCCCTTAATTTTCAATGTAGTGATTCAAAAAAAAAAAATATTGCATGAAAAAAACTGCAGTAAATCATAATGCGGTAGATAAAGGGTTAAAATCTTTTTCATTCCTGATTCAAAAGAGTTATTTTTCGATTTTATGCAAAGGAGAAAATACTACATCATTTATACTCTGCTGCATAAAAGAGCAGCGTTTCTGCAAATTCCAAACAATGTAAGACATTAGAAAATATAACAGTTAGAATAGCAGTTTCATTATCAATTTCTGCATTAAAATCGCTCCGACAAATGAACAATTTCCTCAACTTCACTTGCACAAATAGACTGTCTGTCATCAAATGTATCGTAATCATTAAAATCTTAATACATCCCCTGTGTTGTGGAGTGAGATGAGATAAAAAAAAAGAATTTCCTGTCCTACTCAAGACTCACACAATAGGTTACACTCATGACTCATCTGCTCTTGTGAAGTTTTATAATGGTTTCACTCTTTCCCGTTGAAATTTGCTGCTCACAAAAAAAGTTCTTTTCTGTTCCATACAAAAAAAGGTATGTCATTTGAAAACAAAATTCAATTTTTTCTAATCCAAACTAATAAAAAAAAATTCCTGCTACTGAAATTATTCGTTAATTCGGGGTTTATATATTATTCGCTAAATAGGGATTTTTTCTTTCATTTTAATTTGGGAAAGAGAAGAATTCGTTAAATCGCGGAATTCGTTAAAGAGAGATTCGTTAAATCGGGGCCCTTCTGTATCACCATTAGAGAAAGCTGACAATCCGAGACACAATGAACAGGACTACAGTACATACGCTCCACTAATTTATTCTTGCAAAAACAATTGTTCAACATCACTTCTAGAACATAGTCCAACAAAATAAGGCGGCTCTCAATGTCCATTACAGCTAAATCTAACATATCGGAACAAAAATCTCACGACATATAGAATCGTTGAGTTCGGCCAATGTAGATGATAATAAATGGAACACAAGTGATTTCAAATAACCTCACAGCCAGAAGTCGATCGGAGTGAGTTCGGCTGAGTATGGTGGCTATGCGATCTTACTACCTCGACCTGTCACTCTCTTTACCAAAGGTAGTTAATACGAATCGTTTTGCTGGATTGGCGTACTATAGAGGAGCGCCATTCTGCATGAAGCTTATTACAGATAACACACCTCCTTGATTTAATTCAGGAATGGCTAAAATTATCTTTGCGGCTAAAAAAATTCGAATTCCCTGTGAGCCCTTGTAAACTGCACTTCTTTATCACAATTTCTTCCTTTTTTTCAATGAATTTTTAAAAT